TCTGGACATTTCTTTGTAGACTGCCTCAAGTGAGGGCAGATTAATTATTTTCATCTTTAAATACAAGAGCAGTTTCTTAGGTTGATTTCCACCAAGAGTACAATATAATAATACAACATAACACAAACTAGTACTAAAATATTTTATAAAATGTTTCATACAGTAAATATTCTGTGTGTGCGTGTGTGTGTGTGTAGGGGGCGTTTAGGGAGAACACTAGGCAAGTGCTCTGTCACTAGCTCTACCACCCTAGCTCAGTAAATACTGTTTAAAAACAGATATGTGAAATATGTATCTTCAACTAACATTTTTTTTCTATAAAAAATGATTAGTATTCTATATATTATAGAATTATGAATATGAAATAGGAGAACCATTTGCATAGTCCCAAGGATAAAGTATAGGACATATGATTTGTGCTCTCTAGAAGCTCAAGAAAAGTAGTTCCTCTTAAAAATAGAAAATGAAAAAAACCTCATCTAAGATCCTATTCATTTAAGTTTAGTAAATTTATCATTTTCCTACCACAGAACTAAATATTTGTAAAATTTGAGAAAGGATGAAGGTTAGCCTTAAAGAATGAATACTCTTAAATATTTTAAGGGTCTATACACTACTGCTTTTCATTTTGAAAAAGTCTTAAGTAATACTACCACTAGAAACAAAGTGAAGGGAGACCTTCTCACCACACTTTGGTCAGCACTGGTATTACAATTTTTTAAGCCTTGATCATTTGAAAGACAAAAATGGTATCTTACTATTATTATAATATGCAATTTTCTTTTACTATATTAGTATAAACTTTAAGTTTTTCACTACATTTCTATTTGTAATTATCTAAATGTTGTTTATCTACTTACTACAGATTTAATATTTTCCTTATCAATTCAAATGAGCTATTTTTATAAAAAACTATCAAATTTTCCCAACTGACTTGCTTTTTAACATTTTTTAGCAAATGAAGATTTTAAATTTTTACATAGTCAAATATACACTTTTTAAAAAATGTTTTATGTCTTCTTTAATATTAATGTTCAATTAATAGTTTATGGAAAAGTTATTTCTTATAGTGTTACACAGAGGAGTGGAAAATTACAAGCACATGAAGGATGAATATTAAGGGAATAGTAAGTAAGACTAAGCTGGGTGTGAGGGTCAAGCCTGTAATCACACAACTCAGGAGGCTAAGCCAGGGGGATTGTGAGTTCAAGACCAGCCTCAGCAACTTAGTGAGGCTCTGTCTCAAAACAAAAATTAAAAGGGCTGAGGATGTAGCTTAGTGGCTAAGTACCCCTGGGTTCAATCTCTGGTACCAAAAAAAAAAAAGTGTATAAATAAATGAACAAAAAGTTTTAGAAAACAGTGATATGATGCTTTCTGACATTTTATATTGTACTTAAAAATTTTGACTGCTGATTAGAATGCACTAAACTTCACAACCTATTACTCAATTATGACTATTTTGGAAAGTCATTGTTCTTGACCTAAAGCTGAAAAAAAAACAACAACTAGCTGGGCTTGGTGGCACACGCCTGTAATCCCAGCAGCTTGGGAGGCTGAGGCAGGAGCCAGCCTCAGCAACTGTGAGGTGCTAAGCAACTCAGTGAGACCCTGTCTCTAAATAAAATATAAAATAGGGCTGGGGATGTAGCTCAGTGGTCAAGTGTCCCTGAGTTCAATCCCCTGTACTAAAAAGATAAAAAAAGAAACAACTAAAGACTAGCCTAAGTTTAAAAGAGAAAAGAATTTCATCTTAATTTTTTCACTTTTAATTTAACATCCATTTTATAAGTACTCTAAATACTAAAAGCTTGCAAGGGTACAGTATTTTTTTTTTTTTTCTTTTAGTACAGGGGATTGAACCCAGGGACATTCTATCACTGAGCTATATCCCCAGCCCTCTTAATTTATAAATTTTAGACAGGTCCTTGCTAAGTTGCTTAGGCTAGCCCCAAACTTGTGATCCTCCTGCCTTAGCCTCTGGAGTAGTTGGGATTACAGGCATGTGCCACCACACCAGGCAGGAGTATTTTTACCTATATAATTTAACTGGTACAATAACCCATGAGATGAACAGAGTATGAATGAAATTGCTCATTTTTGAGGGAGAAAAAAAAAAGGCAGAAGGATGCAAAGAAGTTAATGCCTTAACTAGCAAGATAGAAGTAGCTAGGTAAATAGAGGAAACTCTGGGATTAAAAGTCAATTCGTACAATATATAATTCTGTGTACTTCTACAATACTCTTTTTTTGGGGAGGGTGATACTAGGAATTGAACCCAGGGGTGTTCTATCACTGATCATGCCCAGTCCTTTGTATTTTTTGAGACTGGGTCTAAGTTGCTCAGTCAGGCCTTAAACTCGTGATCTTCTTGCCTCAGGTTCCTAAATTGCTTGGATTACAGGTGCACACCATCACCTGGATCTATAGTACAATTTTTAAAAAATATTTATTTTTATTTTTTAGTTGTAGTTGGACAGAATACCTTTATTTTATTTGTTTATTTTTATGTGGTGCCGAGGATTGAACCCAGGGCCTCGCACGTGCTAGGTGAGCGCTTTACTGTTGAGCCAGAACCCCAGCCCCTCTATAACACATTTTAATAAGAGATCCAGAGACTCCCTGAAATGTGAGTATATTTTTTGGCAGAGTTGAAACTTGTGCTGTGATTGCTTTTTCTAGTGATAGAAACTGCCTTGAGGATTCCAAATCTTTCTTTACTTTTTATTTTAGAAAAAATCTGATAATATTGTCCTAATTAATTTGCATTTATTTCTAAACAAGTTGACCCAACCCACATCCAACTACATGTTAAATTACTTTTATAAATTTGCTTTAATAGCCACAGTAGCAACACAATATCACTACAGATTTAAAAGTCAAAAAGCAGGGAGGAGAGAGAAAAAAAAAAGGGAGGGAGGTAGAGTGATGTATGTGTGTGTGTGTATAAGTACAGCAAGAGTTTGAACATGTTATAAAGAATGTCAAGACAGTAAGGGTATTTAAATATTGTTAACAAGTCCATGAAGATGGGAAAAAGTTACATCCTTTCTGTGGAGATTTTTAGAAATATCAATGCTCTAAGAAACTTCTAAGTCTAATCTTGCCAGAAAAGGAATAGATTCTTAGCCTATAATTTTATAAATACTTACTCTCAACAATTTGGTGTGTATGTCTGAAATTTCACCTAACTCTGTTGCTTCTAGGTTGATCTTCATTAACTTTTCATATCTGTATAAAAGTAAATCACAGGAAAAAAATTAAATGAATACATTTTTTTTTTTTTTTTGGTGGTATCAAGGATTGAACCCAGGGATGCTCTACCACTGAGCTACATCCTTTTTTATTTTTCATTTTGAGACCAGCTCTTGCTAAGAGTTGCCCAGGGTAGTCTTGAACTTACAATCTTCCTGTCTAAGCCTCTGCTTAAAAGATGGTTTACAAATTGTATTTAAGTTTTTATCATCATAACTATTTAATAAAAAATTTATTCAAAGTCTATATCCTGATGCCTTCCTGAAGAAGAAATTTTATATGCAGTAGTTCCTCCTCATCTGTGGTTTTGCTTTCTATGGCTTTTGTTATGGTGGTCAATAGTGGTCTTAAAATATTACATGAAAAATTCCAGAAATAATTCACAAGTTTTGAATTTTAGGCCATTGAGTAGTGTGATAAAATCATATAACATTCACTTTTTCCAGCCTGGGACCTGAATCATCCTTTTGTCCTATATATCCACACTATATATGCCTATTATGACTAATAACCACCCATTAGTCACTTAGTAGCCACTTCAGTTATCAAATCGACTGTCACGATATTATATTACAGTGCTTATATAAAAGGCTTTGTACTATCTGAGGTTTCTGGTATGCACTGGGAGTCTTAGAATGTACTCCTTGAGGATAAGAGTGCTACTACTGTACTTTACTTAAAAATTTGCACATGAAAGCGTAAAATAGAAAAGGCAAGTTAATTTTCGATAATTTTATACCAGGACAACAGTAAAAATACTAGCTTTCAGAATTAAGAGAGGTAAATATTAAATACCAATTTCATTTATATATTTCCTCTGTGGTACAAATATTGTAGCTTAGAAAGAAGGCAGTTTAAATTATCATTCTGTTTCTCAGGGAAAAGATTAATATATAAGAGTAAACCAAAAGTAACTCCTAAAATTCTAAAAATACTCCCAAAGGTTGTTCTTGAATCTCTCTTCCTACTTCTTTGTTATTGAGAGGTTTTATGTTTTCCTCTTCAGAGATTCTGCTTTGCAAGATAGACACAAGATGTTTCCATATCCCACTACATTTTCCTTCACAAAGGGAGTGTACACAGACATGGTGCTCATTGCTTTCGAGAAACTGTCTTCCCCTTTAGGATGAATTAACCACTCACCTACAAGCTGCTCCATAGTACAAACACTTGAACTGCATGCCACATGCTAACAATGATTAAATAAACAGAAATGGAACATTTAATATTTGAACCACTATTAAAAAGGAAGTAATCTACTCACACTTTCACAGTTTTTTCAATGTTTCTGATACAGAAATCCAATGTGATCACAACTTCTGTCTTTTTGTGTACAGTTTCATTGTAATCATCTTTAACTAATTCACTAAAAAATAACATTATTACCATTAGTTTATCTAAGGAATTATTTATTTTTTCTTGTCTATCACTAATTACACACTGCTATACTACTATTCAAAAAACATTTCATAATGACATTCTTATTATGAAAGCCAAATTATACTTATTAGGACAACATTAAAAGAATTTGTTACCAATTTGTTATACATATCTAGAGCACTTTATTTTTGCAAACCATATTACAAAGTTTAGCACTTTAGAAACCTAATGTATTAAAATGATACTTATAACAATTCAATTTTCAAACATACAAAAATAAATTCTATAGCATTTACATTTTATACCATCAAAACTAATTTTTAGTACTCACAGTAGATTGACCTACACTTTCTTTTTTTTTGCAGTGCTGGGGATGGAACCCAGGGCCTTGCACATGCCAGGGAAGTGCTCTATCACTGACCTACACTGCCAACCCAATTGATACTTTACAACAATAAATGTGATCTCTGAAGAATGATGACATAGTAAATAATATATAATTAAAGGGCTTATGGTCTATTTCAGGGATCAACAAACTAAGGTCTTAGGCATGTTTTTGTATAGCCCATGAGATAACATTAGATTTTGAAAGGTTGTAGAAATAAGAACAAAACAAAGAAAAATCCACATATGGCCCATGAACCCTAAAGTACTCACTACAGATCCTTTACAGAAAGAAAAAGTCTGTCAACAGCAGTCTACGTTAAAAATTATTTTTTCATGAATTATTAAAGCATAAAATAATAAGTAAAGGGGGAAAATTTTTAAGTAGTGATTGGTATAGAAAATAGCAAGAGAAGATGAAAACTTTCTAGAAACCACTTAGTAAAAAATAAGGAGGCTTTATTAATTCATTTATGCTTGGGAATTGAACTCAGGTACATATGGCATGAGCTCTACCGCTGAGCTACACCTTTAGCTCCACAAGGAGGCTTCTTATTGAAAATAGGAAAATAGACTTAGAAACTGGATATGTCAACACATTGAAAATTATTGTATTTATGGGTTTCACATAATGTTGGAAGGAAAATAAAAGTCTAAAAAAGAGAATACTTCATACATATTTTTGCAAGAAGGGATGGGCATGAGGTAGAAATATACACACTGTCAGAAGCATTTAAGCTCAGGGACATGACATACCGTGAGGTGAGCTCAGAAAACATACTTCTTACCATCTTTTGGCAACAAAGCCATTACCATACATGTACAAAATCCAAATGCTTCAAACAATGTATAGAATGCTAATAAGCATAATTCTCAGAAGAGAGCTTATCAGATGGAAAAATGACATTATAAATAATAGGTTAAGAAAAAAAGGCCAAAATCATATCCATGTTACATTTATTAGGATCACTTGCAGGAAGAAAATCCTTAGATGATCAATATTCTGTTCTAGAAAAACTACTTGGGAAGTGATTTTAAAAAGATAGCTTTTATACTACTTATCAAGGTGAGTGTATATTCATATTGTATGATTCATATCATAGGAAATATCTGGACTAGGCAAATCTATAACAACTAACTATATTTAGTGGTTGCCTAGGACTGGATGATTTGGAGTAAAATGAGGAATGAAGGCCAATGAATGCAAAAGTTCTTTCTGGTGTGATTAAATAAATGTTCTAAACAAAGTGGTGGTAGTTGCACAACTCTGTAAACAACTAAAAACTATACATACTGGGCTGGGGTTGTGGCTCAGTGGCAGAGCACTTGCCTAGCATGCGTGAACTGGGTTCGATCCTCAGCACCACATAAAAAAATAAAATAAATAAAATTCTTATGTCCATTACAACTAAAAATATTTTTTAAAAATTGTACTTACTAAAAATTTTATATTTTAAATGGGTGAATATAGTATGTGAATTATATTCAATAGTGCTGTTTAAAAAAGTGAATATATACTTCATTTGGGGGAAAGGTAAGAAATGAAGGACTATCCTAAAGATTTAAACTTGGAAAGTATTCTTACGTTGGATCATGACAATGAAAAGGCCTTTTGAAATAGCATAATGACAACCAAGTCATTGTTTTTGGAAAAGGAATTCATTTGCTATCACATGGTAAAGGTGTTGTGTAAGGTTTTTTTGCAGGGTGGGTGGGATCTGGGGATTGAACCTAGAGGTGCTTTACCATTGAGCTACATCCTCAGTACTTTTTTATTTTGAGACAATGTTTTGCTAAGTTGTTGAGGCTGGTCTTGAACTTGTGATCCTGCTACCTCAGTACCCTAGCTGCTGAGATTCCAATGTGTGCTACCACATCTGACATGTTGTATAAGTTTTAATATTCAGATTCTAACAATCCTGTCTCATAAAATTATTGTAGGAAATAAGTGAAAAAATAGCTTCTAAATGTTTTATAAACTGTGAAATAAATATAGTATAATAAAAATCAAGGGCTGGGGTTGTGGCTCGGTGGTAGAACTCTCGACTGGCATGTGTGAGGCACTGGGTTCAATCCTCAGTACCATATAAAAATAAATAAATTAATTAAATTAAATGTATTGTGTCCATCTACAACTGAAAAAAACATTTAAAAAAATCAATCATGCAAGTAATTAGTCTGAAGTGGTAAACTATCAACAATGTTAATTAGTGAGGTCTATGAGATGATCACTTTTAAAATTTTCATCTATTACTTACATTAACCATCGTATCCCTTTTCGCATTAATTCCTGATAAAGCAGCAAGGTACTGGTAATTCTACAGGCATAACATACAACCCCTGTTATTGCCTGATGGGAAAAAAAAAATCAATATTTGGTGCCAACGGTGGTAGAGTAAAAAAACTTTCACAAAAAATTTCAAGCCTATATATTTCTATCAGATAAATTAAAAACACAATAAACTACCAAAAGCTAAGAGCAGATATAACTAAAATAAATATTTCATCCTTAACATTATTTATACATGTACTGTCTCGATAAAATTTTCTTATAATGAGTTCAAGAAAGGATAGAAAATAAGGAAGAGAGCACAAAACAATCTAGAAAGCATAATTAATTAAGTGAATAATTTTCTAAGCCAAAGGCATTTATAAAGATATATTTTATTTCTTCCACTATTGATAGGATAATTCAATGTTTACATAATAATTCAATTAAATACTAACCTTAGCCATGCTAGCATCCCCATCTAAATCATAACGTGGATGTACTTTAGGGAGGGAAACTGAAATATCAGAAAGATAATTTCTGAGTGAATTATTTTATTCTTTATATGGCAAACAGAATGTCTAAATTAAATATCAGTGTCAACTCTTTAGTGTACTTTTCCTGATTAAAAAAACCTATGTGAAATAATAATGCTCATGCCCTAACTACCTTCAATATTTCTAAGGCATCTCATTTTTTCTTTCTTTTTTCGTGGTGCTGGGATTGAACCTAAGGCCTTGTACATGTGAGGCAAGCAGTCTACCAACTGAGCTATATCCCCAGCCCCTCATTTTTTCTTAAATATATTCCAACATAGTGAGCTCAGTGTTTCCAAAGTTCTAAATAGGAAGGTAAAAATCTGGGTAATTCATGTTTTGGAGTGAATAATTTAAGATTTCAAGAATTTAAGATTTTAAGAATGCAGATACAGGGCTGGGACTGTAGCTCAGTGGTAGAGTGCTTGCCTCGCATGTGGGAGGCACAGGGTTCAATCTTCAGCACCACCACCACATAAAAATAAATAAATAAAATAGATATTGTGTCCATCTACAACTAAAAAAGAATGCAGATATATATGGGCTGGGGCTGTGGCTCAGTGGTAGAGCACTTTGCCTAGCATATGTGAGACACTGGGTTTGATCCTCAGCACCACATAAAAATAAATACAATAAATGTATTGTGTCTATATACATCTAAAAAAAAAAGTAGATACAATTTTTCTTAGATTCTAAAGCCTGGTACAATGTTGAATACACACTGGATATAATAAATATTTTCTAACATTTATGATATGAAAGGTTAATTCTGCATGTCAGCACAACTTAAAAGCAGAGTTATAGTAAAATATATACATGAAAACTATTTCACCACTTTATGAAACAAAATAATTGACATCAAATTATGACTATTAGGTTTTCAATTTTACTACTTCTCTTTTTAGACTAATTTACAAAATTATAATATTTATAAGTTCTACAATAATGTTACCATCAACATTATGAAAATGACAATCACTTATAATTACATATTTTTGGTATTTTTTTAATGGACAATAATAACAAGAAAAATCTCAACTTACTTTTTTCATATATTAATCCTATGGTACTCAGGGGTTCCCGGCTTACAACGAAGATAGGATTCTCCTCTGTGGTTCTAGGGAAATGCTGTGCCAGTCTTCCAGGTTCTAGGACTAAGCGTCGTCCTTCATAGATAAGTTCTTGATTTGAAGAAATAATTTTGGTTTGTTTATATACCAGTTCATGAAATACTGTAGCACTGTATAAAAAAAGTTGAAGACAAAGTAATTTTAGATCAAATGAGTAGTATAATTTTAGTTTAAATGTTGAGTGCAATGACATTAATTTCTAAGATCTTGACCAGTCCCTACAATACCGTTTTTTTTTTTAATGTGGAATACTAAAATGTCCACTAAAATGAAAATTCCGTAACTTGTCCTTATAGAAGTCTATTCTAAAATATTTTTCTGTTTATTTACCTTTGTAATATACAAGATTCCTAATGTTTAAAGATGGGGGAAAACATAACAGAGACATTAAGAATACTGATTCTGAGTCACATAGACACGTAGGTTCAAATCCCAGCTCTTCCACTTTCTTGCTGTGCAATGCTGTTACTTAATTCGTCTGTACTTTGTTTCCTCACTAGTATATGGGAATAGAAATAGTACTGATTTTAGAATTCTTGAAGGTTAAATGACTTAAATACTTAAAAACCAACACTATATTTGCAACACAACTATGTAATAAATTAAGAAAACCACATATTTTCAAAATTGGGGGAAAAGGTACACTTCCCTAGAGCAGATCTTTGAAATTAAAGAAATGTTTTAGCAATAATGTTGTGATGTGGCCTTGCCACAAGCTTCTGTTTTGATTTGGCTCAGGCTGAAAAGTTTTTTTGGGGGGTGGGGTGGGGGGCGCGATACCTGGGATTGAACTCAGGGGCATTTGGCCACTGAGCCACATTCCCAGCTCCCCCCCCCCCCTTTATTTTTGTACTGGAAATTGAACTCAGGGGCACTCAACCATTGAGCCACATCCCCAGCCCTATTTTGTATTTTGTTTAGAGAGGGTCTCACTGAGTTTGCTAAGCGCCTCATCGTTGCTGAGGCTGTTTTAGAACTCATGATCCTCCTGTCTCAACCTCCTGAGCCGCTGAGATTATAGGCATGTGCTACAGAGCCTGGCTTGAAAATTCAAGTGTTTTAGAACAAAAACTGACGGGCAACATCTAACCAGGATGCATATTTAAAAAAAAATTTTTTTAGTTGTAGATGGACACAATACCTTTATTTTATTTATTTATTTTTTATGTGGTGCTGAGGACTGAACCCAGTGCCTCACACATGTGAGGCAAGTGCCCTAACACTGACCCACAACCCCAACCCTCATGATGTATATTTACTTAGGTTATTAAGTACCAAAATAAAGGTA